CCACCCCGGCACCGGAGCCGGGGCAGGCGGGTGGGGAGAGCGCCCCGGCGGGTCGGCGGCCCAGAAAAGGCCCGGCTCCGAAGAGCGGCGAGCTCGGGCTTTACCTGCGAGGAAGAGCATCGCTAACGCTCACCTGTGCCGGCCTGGTTCAAAGCGCCCGGCCGGGAGCGACCATTGGCCAGGAGGGAGCCAATCGCAGCCCGGCTGTCCGAAGCCCTCTCCCGCACGTGGGGAGAAGAGGCGGGGCCGAGCGGAGCTTCAGCCAATCCGCGGCCTCCGTAGAAAAGCGCGCCTGGCTCGCCCCCCGCCCCCCCCCCCGCCGGCCGGGGCGCCCCCCCCCCGCCCCCGCGCGCGCGGCGCGGGGCGGGCCGGCGGCCGAGAAAAGGCCCCGCGCCGAGGGGGGGCGAGCTCGGGCTTTACCTGCGAGGAAGAGCATCGCTAACGCTCCCCTGTGCCGGCCTGGTTCAAAGCGCCCGGCCGGGAGCGACCATTGGCCAGGAGGGAGCCAATCGCAGCCCGGCTGTCCGAAGCCCTCTCCCGCACGTGGGGAGAAGAGGCGGGGCCGAGCGGAGCTTCAGCCAATCCGCGGCCTCCGTAGAAAAGCGCGCCTGGCTCGCCACGTGCCCCGGGCCGCGTTCGCAGGTGCGCCCCGCGCAGGCCTGGGCCGCGTGGCTTTATGGGAGATGGAGTCCTCAGCTGGACAGCTTGCACGTTGCAACCTGTGTCTGCGCATCTAGCTCAAATTGGGCGCCTTCTAAGTCCGTGTTTCTCAAACTTGGCAACTTTAAGATGGGTGGCTTCAACTCCCAGAATTCCCCAGCCAGCCATGGGGAAGTTGGAGTTGAAGTCCACCCATCTTAAAGTTGCCAAGTTTGAGAAACACTGTTCTAAGTTGTGGCTGTTGCGTGGCCCAGTGCAAAGCTGATCCTACACATGTCTGGTCAGAATGCAAATCCTGCTTTATGGTGTTGGATGTGCTGCCGAGGCAGCGTGCACACACCTGGATGGCCCAAGCACACGTCGAGAGCACAATCAGGTTGACTCTTAAAATGAGCTTTGCAGGATTGCAGGCTGTTGCACTCAAAGGCTAAGCTGCAGCTCTGTCCAGCAATTTTGGCAACCTAGGGAGCCCCCTCCTGTAAGATGTAGATTTTCTTAAAAGAAAACATTTAAGCTAAATGGATTGTTTCCCTTTGTCCTCCTTCATGCGGTGAGAAATTATTCCAGGAGACCAAAACGCCTCTTCTTGAAGAGGGAACCTTAGACAAGGTGCCAATGGCCTTGTCTGAAAACGAAGTAAGTTTTGATTTCTGTCCTTTAGGGAAAGTAGAATAAAATCCTTTTTCTTTCCCTCTCTCTCAATTATATCTTCCTCTGGAAGCCCAGCAGAAGGGAAACATTCAGGCAACTTGGTATGCTACAAGCTTAACATGCATTCATGCAGAAGTAAGATCTGCTTTTTGGATTCTCCCAACACTTTAACTTAGATTAAAATGGATTGGGTGGTGGGAATCCAGCTATTGCTTAAGCACGAAGTGTGAACTAGAGTCTCATGTTAAGCCACACTGTGGTTGAATCGGTTAGGCTTAGTAGGTTGTGTGAAACACAACAGCTGTGTTTGGTTAACTCACATTTAGGATTTGGGATCTGGTGTTCGTTTGCTACTTAAGTGCTGCAGCCAAAATCTGCAATCGTAGCTGCTTCTAAATAACCTTGCTAAGATGATGTGGCTAACATAACTGCTGTTCAGGGAACCGTTCAGAGCTGATCGCAGAAGAGAACTATTTCCCAGCCTGGCTCCAGAAGGAACCAATTCTCTGCAGTGAAATATTAAGCTTATTCCAAAGTCAGTCAATCAGGATTTCTCCTTTAATAAATGTGGCAAAGACCTGCAATTTTTTGTGCATTATAAAGAAAAATTAGAG